TTCAAGTGGTTGGGCAATGTTCAACTGCATCAGTATCGCTTTGTACAATCTTGCCAAAATAGGCAAGACAGCATTTATCTGCAAAGACGTAGATTACATTATACAAAGTCACACTGAATAGATATTAAATGATTTCTTTAGATTCTAACGGTTTTAAAAACTCTCCCAAATTAGTTTTTATCTTGGACCAATATATAGTTAGATAGTTTGCAGCTCTTTGGGTCATCCATTTCAATTCTTTCAACGGTGAATCCGGGTGGGCAGTGCTCTAGCCTTCTGCAATTCCCCTATTTCACAAGAATTAGCTAAAAATTAACATTAATGAACAAAACAGCTCCTTGCTTTGGCTGTTATCTTTGGATGCTGCTTATCTACATCTGCTGGATTGTAAATATTAGCAAGCACTCTTATCCTCCTTTGTTATAAATTATATACAAAACCACAATATGGTCCAAATACCATCTCTTAAACACAGCAAGATGGGGGGGTTTGTTGTTCTTTTTTCTGTTTGGTTTTTGTTTGTTCGTTTGTTTTGTTGTTATTTGTGGTGGTTTTTCTCCAAAACACACAACTATTCCCTAATTTTATATTGTACCTACACCTAGATCTTTTCTCTCTGCATGTACAAATCTGATGCCTTCTCCTCTGAACCCATATCACCACTATCTCCATGATTAGCGTATGTCCCTTCTCACCTGCTTCTTTTAAGTTTACAATTGTATTTCCTGCCATTTACACCCTCATCCTCTTCATCCTCCCTCCCTCCCTAAGGTGCAGGATACTTTGAGTTTTATTAACACAGTTTCAGTGACTGTGTAATCATGTCTTTTTGGCCATCAATACGATTTTGTTTAATACTTCATAGCTTCCATTAACGCCTCCCTTTTAAAGATACCTTCCCAAGCAGTTATCCTGCCAATTGTTTAAACTTGAAGAAACAGAGTCTTCTAAAGCTCCTTACATTACTGCTTGATGCCATATTCTGTTTGCACAAAGCAAATACAGACAAATAACAACCACTGGTACCTAGGCAACGATGGGATTTCAGGTCAGCTATTAACTCTTCTTTATCTGCTAGAACAAGGTCAACTATTGATTTACTCCACAGTGGGTGCAGTATTGCATGCATTAAAAAATGACCTATTCCTTCTAGAAGCTTTCTGGAAGTCGTTTTCTTGGCATCATGAAATGTCAAGTAAATATTACCCAGTTTAAGCAGCCTATTTTATTTGCCTCCCTATAAGGAGCATATACGTAAGGAAATGTTTGCTCCGTTCCTGCAGATATCTGAGGGACCTGTTAGAAACACATACTAGGCGAGAGAGGTGGTTTGAAACATGCATAACTTGAATTTGTCACGAAATCCTTCAGTCTGTAGCTTTTTCAAATGGTGAAGGCTTAGAAAGTGTTATGTAACATCCATTTAAGCACACATGGGACACCACAGTTGAAGTCCACCTCTACTCAAGTCTGGGTGAAAGCATTAGCTACTGCTCTGCGCCTCAGGACTCGAATGACCTCTTGCATGCTGCTCCATCCTCAGGGGACTTCTTTACTCCCCCCCCACCATCACTTTTATTTCTTCCTCCACGGCTTTGCTGTCTACCCAATTCCTCTCTTTGTACAATAGGTTGGGAAAATCACTCCAGGCAAGGATTTTGAGTCTCTTAGATATGACGTTGAAGAGATGTGACCTGACACACAGAAGGGAGAGGGAAGAGATGGGGGGAGAGATGTTACAGGCTAGGCGCAGCTGAAGACTAAGACAACCATGAGTCTCCTATAGGAAAGAGGGTAGGTTTCAGTGAGTCACCCAAGGGAGAGCATCCTGATCCTAGAAAAGAAACAGGAGCAAGGAGAATTCAGAGAGAAACTCTCTCCTGCTTGAGTCTCGGAGCATGCTGACAGAAGCGGCAATCAGTGAAAAAGGGAGATGTGCAAGAACCATTGATTATTTCATTGGCAAAGTAGCAAAGTTTTCTATTACAGGAAAATGGCACATGCTTTTTTTGTGACCCAAAAGATGAATGTTCTTCTGGCAGGCATACCTTTCAGAAAACACAGGGCCAGGTGAACTAGCAAAAGGCTTTATGGGCAATGTACCAACTTAAAATCACATCACTGTGCTGGAACTTGAGATTATGTTTAGAGAAAAACTAAACCACCTAAATGAAAAACTAAATGACTTGAGGAATACCAGAAACCAACTCATATAGCGTATTTCCCCACCCCTTCTATGTACAACAAATGGCACCATATGGGCCCAAAAGAGAACAGGAAACTTTAATGCAAACAATTAGGCTGCATTTTCCGCAAGCCCCTTCTCAAGACAGCAGTTCATTAAAACTGCTTGGGTCTCCCAATCTGCAAAGCAGAGGTAAGAGTCACCAGGACAGGGACATCTTTCATTTCCATCCATGTTCCCCACACCAGGAGCTCAGGGAAGAATAGCATCAATGTGAGTGAGTGTGAAAGGGGCCAGTCATCAAGCCAAGTACTGGTCCCCAAGGAAGGGGCAGTAACAATGTGGAACAATTTATGTCAGCAATGCAGCTCCCAGGAAAGGGGAGCAGCAGTAGCACAGATCAGGATGTGCTAAATACAGATTGTAGCAGGTGGTCCAAGAACTGGCTGTGATTTCAGCAACCGGTTTATCCAAACCGGACGGAACTGCCTACTGCACAGCCCTGCAACAGCAAAAAGCAAGCTAGGAACACAAAAGCAGAGCAAGTGACTGAAGATTCGGCAGCTGCAGATTGCCAGGAGATGAGTTTCACCCTCAAAACATTCCCAAGGATGTCAAAGACTGTGACAATCTAATGTATGAGCAAGACAGAAGCAAACCCAGGCCTTTTGCAACACAATCACAGAATCCTAATTTTGGCTGGGATGTACCTCCAGAGGTGATTTAGTGCAACCCCTGCTCAAAACAGGTCTAATGAGACCTGGTTGGCCAGTCAAGTCAAATGTCTTTTAAGGATGGAGGCTCCACAACCTCTCCAGGCAACATGCTGTAGTATTTAAATACCCTCACAATTAAAAAAAATTCCTGATATGTGATCAAAATTTCCCATGTGCCAGCTTGTATTTGTCGTCTCTCATCTCATCATTACACACAAGCAAAAACAATCCGGCTGCATCTGAGAAGATGGCTTTGCCTGGAGAAAAGGAGGTTCAGGGGGACCTAATCACTCTACAGCTACCTGAAAGGAGGTTGCAGTGAGGTGGAAGTTGGTCTCTACTCCCAAGTAACAAGTGACAGGGCAAGAGGAAACATCCTCAAGCTGCACCAGGGGAGGTTTAGATTGGACATTAGGAACAATTTGTTCACTGAGAGGGTGCTCAGGCATTGGAACAGGCTGCCCAGGGCAGTGGTGGAGTCACCGTCTCTGGAAGTGTTCAGAAAAGGTGTAGATGAGGCCCTCAGTGATATCGTTTAGTGATGGCCTTGGCAGTGCTGGGGTAATGGTTAGACTTGATGATCTTGAAAGTCTTTTCCAGCCTAGCTGACTTTATGGTTCTATCTTTTCTGTATCTTCTCAGCAGGTAGTTGCTGACAACAAAAACATCCCCCCTCTGCCTTCTCTTCTCAAAGCTGAACAGGCCCAGGTTTCAGGCTCCGCTCGCATTCCATGCTCTCCAGCCCCCTGACCGCTTTAGTGGTGCTCACTGGACTTGCTCCAGTATTTCACTTACACAAAGTGCACTTCTTGCACAGGGGAGCCCAAACGGGACACAATACTCCAGATGCAGTCTTAACAGAGCCCAAGGTGCGGATGGCCACCTTTGCTGCAAGGGCATGCAGCTGCTTATGTTTTATTTGTTGTCAATTAGGACAACACAGATGGCTCAACAGATGCAACAACTGAAACAGAAATACTGCAAAATTTGGAGGAGCAGCTGGGTATATAGTTAGGGCCAAGGTACATACTAAAAGCCAAAGGTGGCAAGAGGAACCTTAGCTTTCATAGAATCATAGAATAATTAGGGTTGGAAAGGACATTAAGATCATCTAGTTCCAACCCCCCTGCCATGGGCAGGGACACCTTACGCTAAATCGTATCACCCAAGGCCTCGTCCAGCCTGGTCTTGAACACTGCCAGGGATGGAGCATTCACAACCTCCCTGGGCAACCTATTCCAGTGCCTCACCACCCTAACAGGAAAGAATTTCCTCCTTATACCCAATCTAAACTTCCCCTGTTTAAGCTTTAGTCTATCCTGAGTCCTCTGCACTGCATCTTAAGCAGGCAGCAACTCTGAACTTTATAAAATAAGATTTATTTCTGAAGACTTCTGAATGTGCCATCAATCAAGGATCAAACAAGTCAAATATTCCTGATGATGATATACAGGTAGATAACTTCACCTGTAGGTTAGGTCATGAAGCATCTAGCTCATTTATCTCTGTTCACAGGGAATGAGTCACCACCTATACTCATGCAAACAAACTCTTCCCCAAAAAGCTTATAAACTGAGAATGATGAATAGCATACAAAGATTAGGGAAGGCAAACTATTTGGTCAGAAGAAACAGAATGTATATTATACACAATATAAAATACCATCTGACTTGCACTAGCTTTTCCACATGCAATTGCTAGTTGGCCAACTCCTTGCAGCAATTTTTCATCACAGATCATGAGGAAAGACATAAATATTTCAACAAGTTTCTAAGCAACTGAAAAACAGTGCTCTGCAAGGGATATATTAAGTCAATGTTTAATCCTAGCCTTTACTGGGAAATAAGATGAAGTTTCATTTTGTGGTTTGTTTTTTCTTTCCAAACCAATTGTTAGGTTACACTGAACATCTTGATATGAACACCACCGTTATAGTTTTCATGTGTATTTACCAGCTGAGGTAAATGCTAACAATTGTTCTAGTCCTGCAAGTATTTCAAAGTGTGCTTCATTTTCCTTCACACAAATACACCACCACCACGTGTCCCACCTGTGGGGAAGGAGAATCTATCATTCCTTTAAAGGTGCTAGTAACTTACCCCAAACATCTGCCGAAGGTCAGGATCTCGAAAGCGGAAGGGAATGTTAGACACATGAAGTCGCTTTGGAGTGGATTTGCTCTCGGTATTCTCACTGCTCTGTGTCTGTGATTGCTGTCCATCTGTCTGTGCCCCTCCTTCTGTCTGCTGAAATCAGAAACACAAACGCATGTGCATGAATAGAAGCCACACAAATTCCTTTCACGTGCTTTGACTGTCTTTTTTTAAGTATTAGTATTACACTTGCAACTGCAATATCTTGCACTTGACAATTATTTTGATAAAGCCAGTAACAATTGATCTGTTGTTGTTCCCCTCCCTTTCCATGAGTAAACAGTAATGAGATCTCAGCCTCCCTCCCCTCGTTATCACCTTTTAGCTCAGAAGATTTGCCTTTGGTTTTCTTAAATTGCTTCTCTCTTTTCTCCTGTTCTTCCTCACTTCAGCTGCCACATATGTAAGCCCTAATGAAGAGGCGGATCTTTCATATCCTGAAGCTGGGAGGTAGTACCGCCACTCTAATCTCATGTGGCAGGATGTTCACGCAATCATCCAAATCCCACAGCTGAAGTGGCAGCTCTTCACTTGGCCAAAACCAGAAATGCATTCCCAGGCAAAATGGCATCTGCTCTGTCAAGCTCCCTTCAGAGAAACATTACCCCAAAAGAAGATCTATAACTAAATAGTAAAATCCATACATGAACAGCTTACGGATGTCTTTGATTAACTTTTCTCATACATTTAAAAGTCAGCCCAGGGACAGGAAACAGCCATTACGCCTGCAGGCTTTATAAATATATACTTTCTGCTACCAACTTCACAGCTAAAACAAGGGAATTTGCTCCAGCATTCCCAAGCACTGACTGGTACGACAAAGCCAGGTCAAGGGGTGCGACAACAGGACTTGTGCTCAAAAAAGGTGCAGAGGAATAAGGGAGACCAGTGTGCCAGAGCAGGGAGCTAACACCCCCACAGAAATGACTGGCAGGGGAGAAGAAAGGAAGAGAGTGTCAGCCACTTGTGTTGGGCTTAGACTAAATAGGGGTGAAAATTGAGCACAGCACTAAATGTAAAGGTAAGGTCCCTTTTGCAAAATGGCTTGATGAGAAAATGGTATTTTTCACATCTTAGTCACAAAAAATGACCTCAAAAGGTCAGAGCTACAGAACAAAGTAGACTACAATTTGGCTGTTTTATTGCTCTGTCCCTTTCAGACAGCACACATTGACAGGCCAAGGTATTCAAAGAGCACTCACCCACTCACTCTATCTCCCGCTGCTTGCCTCAGCCTCGTAAGAGTCATGCTTTGACCACCTGTGTGATGCACTTTTAAGTGTCATTTCATTTTTTAGATGATAATCTGATTTCTTCCTTAACCCATCAAGTGAAAAGAAGTTCTACAAGGCGGCAAGGACCATGTAATTGCTAGAGCCAACTTTATTTTTAGGCACCTTCCAGAACACATGCAGGCCTTAAAAGTAAAGATTTAAGAGTAGGGTTTTTTTTGCTGGTTTGGAGCCTTTTTGCCCCTTCCTCCTCCACTGGCTGTTTTAAATACACCATCTGTGAACCAAAGAGGAAAAAAATCTCATGAGAGCTGCAGATACTGACTCCCCAACCACTGACTGGGCTTGCTAGATTGCTCTGCACATCACTTAATATACAACACTTCATGAATACTTTGAAAGAAACATCTCTCCATGGTAAATTAAACTGGCAACATTAAGAGAGCTTCTTCTGGCCAGAAATGTCTCTTACAGGCATGACCTTGAACTTGTATATTGGTTATAAAGCACTGACAATAGCAAGCAAACAGCAAGCACTGAGGTCCTGTCACGCTGAACAAAGCAGTGGCAGCTTTCCATTTTACTTTCGTAGGGCTGCACAGGCAGCACAAAACATGCTTGATCTAGTTAATATAAATTAAGCCGTGATAGGAAGGACAAAAATATCACCCTGCAAGTATCTCTACTTCCCAGAGCTGTGCAAGTCTCGGGAGCAGCCTATCAGGATGAAGCATTTTTATCTGGCTAAGACTCACCCATCACTCAAGCATCAGATTCTTCTTTGCAACCTCAGAACTTCCATCTGATCATATCTAAAAAGCTGCCTCTCCCTATTCAAGTTCCCCCTCTTCTCCTATCCTCACCCTTATGACAAAAATGCATCTCTAAACATACAGAGAGTGCACCCTGGGGGAAGAATCAATGCAGCTGGCCTGCGATTAAATCATACCACGCTATTTGGTGGTTTTATTTTTATGACTCCATCAGAGTCCTTTGCTCCTCAGGGCAAATCTCTCCAAGAAGGACAAAACACAGGAGTAGCCTATCCATCACCACCATACACACCACCTGCAAGTGAGTGCTCCAAAGTAACTCCCCAAAATCATCAGCACTTCTGCTAAATGGGATCTCTACTGTCAGTTCTGGAGCTCTGCTAGTGCAATTTGCCAAATCCCACATTTTCTATGGCTTTGTATAAACTGACAAGGTGGGCAAACACCCATGCACATAGGTGCATCTTCTGCAGTGTGAATGAGGAAAGGCACAGATTCTGAATGGTGGTGACAAAAATGGTTTAGTCTTTAAATTCAGACATAGGTTGCACAGGACTGGATCTGCCGCTTCTACAGGAGAGGGAGCCCGGAGGTCATCTGCACTCCTCTCCCACCCTCTCTCTCTCCACAGACAGAGGGCGGAACTCCCTTCTTACCAAGGGTGTGATGTTAGCATGTAGCCATGGCCTGCCTAGAAACACTCACAGCTGTTCCTGCATATGGCAGAGTGCTGCTGCCACACAGGAGTCATTTTGCAGCACGAGATGTGTACAGTAAGACAAAGGCTTCAAAGAGGAGGCAAAAGATAAGGAACAGAGGATCTCTGTCCATTCTTACTTTTTTGGCTACACTAAGAGTCCCTGAATGCTTTTCAAGCTTTCACATATCCTGATTTTTCAGCAGCAGTTTAACACTGAATACCTTCTCGCGCTGGATTCAGTAGCTCCCTCGTTTCTATTGTCCATGGCCCTAAGGTAAGATTTGAACTTTCAGCCACTATAACATTAGCTCAATGCATTTGTCTACTGCCACACATTCAGCTACAACGTAAATGAAAGAAAGGCTCCTCAGATCTTGCCTCTTTTCTTTTTTTACCCCTTTTATAGTTATTCCCTGTCTTAATTCATTAGGAAGGAGATGAAAGGAAGGGCCTGGAGCATGTTCTCAGACAGCACATAATGGAGACCAGCAACAGCGTTACCCTGACCAAGCCAGATGATGAAAGCCTGCATTTCAGAGTGTCCACTCTCCACCCTGACACCTTCCCCACACCAAATTTCAGCTCTTTGCTTCTGACCTCACATCAACATTTTATAGCAAAGAACCAGCCCTCACCCTTTGCTATAGACAGCAATTTGGCTTGGAAGGGAGCTAATACATGTTCCCCGGGTCTCAATGCCTGTCATCCGGCAACACAGAGATACACTGCAGCTAAAATCCTGTGTTTAGAAGCAGTGTTGGATTCACCTCCTCAGCACAGCCTGTGTAACATATACTTATGCAGGTGATAATGTCATTCATGCCTGCACACGCAAGCTTTGAGCTCTTCTCAAGGTCACCGAGAAATACATCGGAGCTCAGGACACGTGCAATATGTGCTTCACTTTTAACTGCTTGCTGCCTGTACCCCTATGCCAGCTTCTCCCTTACACCCACCAGCAGTAAGGAAACGCTAACCAAGAAAAGGCAGCTGCAAAGAGAAGCATGGATGTATATATGTGCATATATGCATGTAAAAGGGGAGAAGAACACCTGGCAATGCAAGGGTATTCTGAAAGGTTTGGGAGCAGCACTACAACTACCTTCCCACCTCTCGACTACACTCTTCATTCTAAAGCAGCTGGTGAATAAGCAATTGCTGAGGACTCCTCTGACAGGAAGGGGCTCCAGCCCCTCCTGGGCTCCAAGCAGATCTCCATCTGTGTGGCCAGACAAAGGGCTACCTCCCTGATGAGCCAGACAAGCACCAGTGCGACAGGCCAGCACATGGACTATTAATACCCAAGTACACTCTGTTTCCATCTCCCACTTGCATCCAGAACTGGAACTGATTCAGGTCCAAGTTATAGAAAAGGAAAAAACAACCCCCCATCCCCTCCCCCAGGAAGCAGGTGGTCCAAAATGTTGTGAATCATAATGAGGAGGTTAAGAGCCATAAATCACTGCAAAGAAAATATTTACAAAACACAAACTGTAACTAATAATTGTATTTAAAAGGGGACTTGGGTGGCTTACAAAATCTGGGAGGCAGACTGTGCTCACTCCACTGCTTCTAGATCAGTCTTGGATCCAAAAAAGAAACCAAACCCAGAGACCTATTTGAATCAAGAGCTTGAGGAATTGTGTGGAGACAAGGACTGCAAGCTATGACTGGCAGAAGGCAATCTTCCCACTGCAAAGGAGAGCACAGACAACGTGGGAAGATCTCTGCAGCTTCTAGTGAAGAACTCGCGTCAAAACAACCCGCCACCCACCACTGAACTGGTATCTACTGAGCAGGATTGGTGGAAAAACAAGTGAAGAATTATGCACCAGACACAAAACCCCTTCCTTGCCCCATCATACTCTAACAGAGTAGGAAGTAACACTGTCAATGGAGCAGTGATAGACTAAGATCCATTCAGCCCGCTGTTTTCTGACAGTGGCCAAGTCTGTGGCATCTGTGGAAGAACACAGATCAGGGCAAATATGCAGTGATTTTTCTCAAGATCCGCCTCCAGCAAACTGAGCCAGTTGATGTCTCAACTTCCAAAGCACCTTATGGACAGGAGTTCCAATGCTAAATTCTTGGTTATATGGAAAAAACTAAGAAACAGAAACCTGGTTGGGTTTGTTTTTTTCCACACGTGGCACCTGATTATTTCCTATGTGCATCCTTGTAAGTGAAAACGAGACAGTTTCCTATTTTATTTCTCAGACCATATGTATGCATGTACTTGTCATATGCCTTCACTCCTGTCAGCTCTTTTTGTAAGTGAAGATTTCATTTCTTCTCATAGAGAACCTGCTACATCCCTTTCATCACTACCATTATCCTTCTCTGTACTACTTCTAGATCTGCTACAGCCTTTGAGAGATATGCAGAAGTACCACAGCTGTATACTCTAACATAATGATATTTGCTGGTTTATTTCCTATTTCTCTTTCAAAATCATTTTTAAATTTGTCTCACTAGGCACAAGCCTACAAGCGCTGACAATAATCTGCCTCATACTCAAAATAATAAAATAATCTGCCTCATACTCAAAGCAAATTCCTGATGCTAAATGTCAGAGTTTGCTACCTCAAGACAGCAATTTCCAAGCTGAGGTGGCCAAACAATCAGCAGCTAGTTACTTATTTGAAGGTAATTCTTCCCAGTGTCTACCTGCTCAGCAGTATTGAAAGACAAGTGAGGATATTCATTAAACATACTCTTCACCTGAAATACCTCACATGAGCAATTGCTTTAATTACTAAAGTGATGAAAAATAATTACAGAAGAAAATTCTGCAATCTCAAACTAGGCAAAAAATACCCAAGGGAAAGTCATCATTATAATATCATCCATGTGTTATAAAAGGCAGTTGAGGAGCCCCTTGGTGCCATTGGCTCCCTTCTTTCCAAACCCTTGCCAGATGTATGACGCACAGCCAGATAACCAAGCAGCTTCCCTGTCTTGCTTCTGAACACAGTATGTAGGGGTCTCCCACCACAGATGGGTCTTCTTTAAGGAGTCACAAAGTCAATATCCCTTTATCATACAGCAGATGAGTTAAATATGTTTCAGTATGGCACATTGAGAAGCTGAGAGACACTATGCTCTGTAATTAAATGATGCTGGATGCTGGTTCATGACAACGCAACACCAAGGCGACAGCACCTGCCATTTTCATGCGAAGTAATTTACATAAACTTATTCCTCTACTTCTATACCTCCAGCTGCATTCCATAATTTATACAGACACACAAATTCTTCCCTCTGACATTAACAAGAGAAATGAGTTGAATAATCAGCTCACAGTGTTAAGTGCATTGCATTTACTATCAAGCAAGCTTTTTTAGTTCAGCGGATGATTAATCTTCCCTCTGCGGGTAGAGTAGCAGGAGATGCAGAGAGCTGACAATTGCTCTCGGCTTCTGGCCATGCACTCCATACGCTCACCTTGCAAGAGCAGTGTTCGCTGGATCCCTCCAAGAGCTGCTCTAATTCATTAACCCAGCAAAAGAATTGGGCAGCTTTCTGCCAGGTCAGTGAATTAAAGTAGCTCACATAAGGAATGCCAGAGCCAGTAAAAAGGAGCAGGAGTTTGTGCTTAAAGCCAGAACTCGCCTTTCTGACAGCAGTGAATCTTTAGATCAGCTCAGCTGCCAGAGGTACTGCAGCTCGTTAGCATCTCCACTCACAGCTATCTGTGCTGGGGGCCTCCATTAGGGATAAGCACACTAATGTAAACCAAGAAGGGGGAAGGGGGAAGTAACCAGGGGACCCAGCACCATAAGAAGTGAAAACAGAGTGTCAATGGTTGAAGAGACAACAGGCTGCAACAGGCAGACTCAGTAGGCCAAATATGGTCTGGTACCTCAGCCTATTTTTAATCCAGGTCCTTCAGCTGTGCTTTGGGACAGTATCAAGAGAAAGGACAGATGCCTGGAGATGAAGCCTGGGAGACCCACATGCCAGGCAAGAAACAAAGCCCCACGGATGAGGCTTGATCCTAAAATAAAAAAAAGATTCCAAAATACTAAGCTGTTTGTATTACACAACCTATTGTGCCAATTTCTTCTCCATGCCCCTGCTCTGAAAGCTTTGAATGCTTTCCACTACACTCAGACCTCCAGAATCAAGCTCATCCTTAGCTGATGACACCAACCAGTCATTCCCCTTTTGCTCAAGGCTTTTAGACTGCGTAGGAAGGCATGGACTTTGACTCTCAAAGTCTATTTTACTGAAGTTCACTGCTGATGTTTGACCTCAGGCTTCCAGACCATTGTCTATTAACTCAGACACCACCAAACTCAACTCATTCAAATGGACTTCCTCACCAGAATCTGCCAAGTTTCTATGAGAAGGTGCTTCTACAGTTAGGAACATTCTTATAGACCCCATTACATTGCTGTGTAACATCTTGCCAAACAAATGGAAATTCCCTTTCCGTGAGGGACCTTTAAGCCACTCCATATTCTCTGCTACTTTTGCATTTATCCTAAAGGCTACCAGCAAGAAAACCCTGCCATCTGAGCACACCTTTTGCTATCTTTGCCAACTGGACCAAGCACAGGCCTTATTCTTAAAAGCAAAGAGAGACCTTATCTGTCTGGCTGAAGGAATTTCTGAATCATCCCACGGGAGCACAGGCTTTAACTCAGCAACAAAAAAATGTACCAGCTGTCTGGTCTGGTGTATCGCCTTCACATGACAGCAGCTGCACTTGTCAGTTGCAGTAATGGGACGGAAGGACCATACATCACCCGTGATGAGTTTTTGCTCTGCTGAAGTTAGCACTGTTGTTTGAGCAAGACAACAGAATGGTGAAAGGAAAAGATACCTTAAAGGATAGCAGTCAAGTCCACATGTCCTGTAAGTAAGAACAAGCATGTGTGATGGACTAAATGCTTGACGTTGGCTATAAATGTTCAGGGTGAAATAACTAAGTTGTTCCGTTGTATTTTAATAGCACACTTTTGTTTGAGTAACTACTGAGTCTTCCTCCTTCCCCTAGTTCCTACATCATTAATCAGCGTATTGAGAAGGAGAAAAGTTACAAGCAATTACATCCCAAGGCAGCCCACAGAATCAAAATAACTTCATATAGGAGTCCTAAGCAGAAAGATAAAGGGAGTCAGAAGATCCAGGACCCTGTGCATGTGAAAGTTTGGCACATGAAAGGTCCTTATCTGAGCTGCCTTCTCCCTCCCCCTGGATTTCTTCATGTGCCGCCATCTGGGATCCTCTGAGTTTGATCAATCCCAGCCATAGCAGCAGCAATGTGCTCATCTGCCCCCATACTCTTTTCCCAGCTATCCATGGCCTGTGAGCCCAACTCCACATGCTCAGCTCACACATCTTTAACCACATCAAATGGTCAGACCAGACGTACCCACCTGCTTCCATCAGCCAGTACAAGCGTTACGTGTTACTGAGCCTGTTTCTCACATAACCCCTGCCAGCCAGGCTCCCTCCACAGCCTCCTGGCAACACCACTACCTCCCAGCAGTCTCCCAGCAACGCTCCCTCTGGCACAGATGGGCTCCCAGTCTCCCCTTGCAGGCTAGCCAGCCTCCCCAAGCACTGCAGGCTCCTTGGAGCCGGCATCAGTTGATGAAACACAGAGCTCAGGCCTGCAGTGCCACGGAGATGGCTCCTAATATGGAAGAGGAGCAGGAGGACTGGCAAGAGCTTACATCCAAGGTCAAGGCTCGCATCATTTCCATTAAAAATGAACACTCTAAAGCTCTGGGCAAGGCTGGGAACAGCAAAAAATACACAGGAAAGCCACTGCCCTGTTTTATTCCCTGTTTCCAGCTTTCTCATCCAACTGGCAGCGCTTGAGATAGCTGCTGGAGACGGGCAGCCCAAACCTTACGAATTGGAACAGCACTGGGCAACCTGGTACTAAAATGATGACTTGCATTTCTGCATACTGCACCAGCTCGAAGTTTTATTTTCAGCCCGATCTCATCTACATTTGTGTTTGCTGAGGCTTCATTTATGCACTATCAATGCACTTTACAGGGTTTGTACTCCTTTTCTTCTTCAAGATGCTGAAGTTGTTGCATTCCTAGGATGAACTCATAGATACCAAAGTCATAACCAGCGGTGCCAACCATGCAGCCCCCCGCCCACTTCAGAAGAGGCAGATGTGCATCCTGGGGACCATGCATACTTGAGCTGGCCCTATCAGCTCTTCCAATTGTTGGCACTGAATTCACTCAGTACTTAAAGGGGGGGAAAATAATCTCTATGAGCCAGACACCCAACTACAAGTAAAACTGAAAGCATTAACAGATTAAATCCACCCCTGAGAACCGAAGGCTCACCATAAGGTTCTTTATTAGGAAGTTAAGTCTTAACAAGTGGTTTAAGGGGTGGATAAAGCTTTTGTTGGGATAATCTGCCAGCATGCTGCCCAGTGCCAGTTCCAGGCCATGGGAAGAAAAAAGCAAAAAAACCTAAGAAGGTGAAAATCTTTGTCTGGCAAAGTAGCTTTGTTTAGCCCAGTAGCTAAGAGGTCCTCTCCTATCTTTGCCCCCTGAAGCTCCTTGCCATCTTCAGAAAGTGAAAGTATTTTTGTACTCTGCTAACTTCCTGAAAATAAAGACACATTGGGATTACACCTACATGCATGTGCTCATCCTAATCCTTTGTACCATCAACCTTCCAGAATTTGCCTCCATCACATTCATTTGAACTGCTTGCCAATTAACACAAGGTAATTAACACCTTTGTAAAGGACTGTCTTCAGACAATGCCTCCATGGTAAAAACACCATGATCCCAAGTACTACTGCTCTTTGCAAACACCAATTTACAAGCAGAACATGTACAAGAGGAAGGTAGTAGAAGGTCAGAAGCTATGTTTTATTTATCGTTCTCTCCTTTTCAAGCCTACCACTGATTTGCTGCGTACTTAAGAAGCAGTCAGCAGCCTAATCAATGGCTGCTTTTCCCCACAGCACTGTGCTGCTCTCCTGGCTCCTCACCCTTCTGCACTTACTGCGAGAGATCCGTTCTGCGTGCTGGCTGTGTTCGTGCTCTGCTCTCCATGCGGCTGCGTGCTTCCGTAGAGTGTCAGATTGTGCTCGCTGGTCTGGCCTGCATAGTCCTGAGTGTGTGGCACCCCATACTCTGTGGGAATCCCGTTCTGTGGGGGTGGCGGAAATGGGATTGTGGTGAATGGCTGCACCATTGCATCAGGAGTTGCTGCTGGCTCCTGGTTACCCTGAAGAGAGGGAAAAGGAGAAAACAGCTGTATACTACAGAAGATAAATCAAACCATCAGCATGAGAAATTACACACAGGTGTTCATGTGAATATCCCACCCACTGCCACCATCATATTGCACAGTCTTCTATTATCTTCTCTATCAAAAAGAGCACGCCTTGCTTCTCTGAGCCATGACACTATTTTCTTAATCTTTCTGGGCAACTTTCTCACTACTGGGTGGCACACAAAGAACCAATTATGGGGCTTGCAAATTGCATGCCCCTGTAATCTCACACAGGGCTTTATGCACAGTAAAGCAGTATTTTGGAAGCGGAAAGAGGCACTGAAACATCGGAACAGAGAAGGAAACACAGACAGAAGAACAGGGTTCTTCAATATCCCTAAAAGTACCATATCTGGGTCCAGCTCCTTCAGTCTGACCCTCATGGTCCTGCTCACAAGCAAGCACATTGTCTGGTTCAGAGCACACGTCCCTATTGTGTAAAGAGGAATGCTCTCTAAAACTCATCTGTGCAGCAGTTCCCTCCTTTGCTCCAGCAGCACCAAATACAGAGCACAGGTGCTCAGGAATATCCCATTTGCTTCTTGCTGGCCATACAGAAGACACCGAAGAGCTGTGGGGAACTGAGCCGAGACTGGAAACCTAGAAGACATTCCCTCCCTCCCAGTGCTGAGCACCACACATCACACTACCATCACATAAGGCATTAATAACTCACTCCTCCCCCAGCTTACACTATCCCACAGAGACCTCTACACTAGGACAGTGAACTTTTTAGCAGCTTTTAGCACTGCCTTAGATGTAGTTGACACCAGCCAGATGACTCAGAAACAGACAACTGACCATGCAAAATATATTCCCCAAGGACAATTAAAATGCTACCCCACCATGCCTGAAAACCACCCAAGGCAAACACAAAAGCATGCAGCCACTGCAGGGATCTCACCGAGGCGGGAGAAGGGAGCTGTATTCATTCAGCCACCTGGGGCAAAGGAGAACGGCCTTGACATTGAAGCCCAGGCTGCTGCACCGCTCCTACTGCTTCCACTGCCGCAGCAGGGGAGAGAGAAAATCCACGGAACAGATTTATGATAGGAGGGCTGTTTGATTTATGTGTGTGTCAACAGACTAATCCTGATTTTAAATTCTGGCTGCTGTTCCAGCCCTGGGTCCTCCACCACAGAGCCCGGGGGTGCTCCGAGTCTATTCTGACACCAGCACACTTAAATCAATGGAGAAAAGCGGAGCAGACCTTGTCCCACGGATCGGAAAGGCAGTAGGAATTACCAAGCAGCCTGTCAGCAGAGAGCGTGCAGGGGCTGACGGACCTCCAGTGAAGCCGGACAAACCTTTCAGTCCCTTTATCAGCCTACCTGCAGCTTTCCCTTCTGGGCGAAGGAAACAATGATGAACGCAGCGCACCTCCAGCCAGCACCGGGTCATTCAGACACTGGCTGAATCCCAAATTTGCTCTGACATTAGTCTATCTGGTCTGCCTCCCTCGGGGGCCACGTGGCCACGTGCTCCCGCAGCTGGGGAGAAGGAGAGGGAAGGGCATTCAATACCACTTAGCAGAGCTGAGCTGCAGCCTTGGCCCGCACCCGAACGGGCAGTCTCATTAACTGAAGTCCAGCCCTGCTGCCTGCAGGAACACAAAACTCTGCAGCTTTATCGGAGAAAGAAGCATTGAGGCAAGCACGCCAGTCACAGCCAGTGCTTGGGTCCTTGCACACACTGCCCCAGGCAGCTGCAGCCCTGCATCGCCTGCTAGCAGCTCTGTGGAGGCTTTCCACACACCCAGCACATCTCCTGAGAGCAGAACAGGGTGGAAGGTTTTCACCTCTGAAAAAGAGGGCAGCTCCACCAGCCCTCTGCATCTGCTCACTCCTTTGCCATTGTCAGCTTCAAAGCAAGGAGCTTCTGGCTCGTCTTAAACCATCCCCAAGATCTGCAGGGAGAGCGTGACAAATGGGAGGGAGGTGAGGCTGAATGATGGTTATCCCAAACCAGATATCAGCAACCACAACACTCGCCCACTCAGGCTATTTATCCCCTTGTCATGCTAGCTCCACTCCATCCGCATACTCTTTTGCTTACTGTATTTAATTATATCCAACTGCCTGGTGTACTGCTTAGCATCATAGATTAGAATCATAGAATAGTTAGATTGGAAAGGACCCTCAAAGGTCACCTAGTCCAACACCCCTACAATTAATAGGGACACCCTCAACTAGATTGGGTTGCTTCCACACAGCCCATGTTGCCTATCCTTTTCTTGTGTTTAAAATACAAGCTAAATATGAAACTGATGTTTTTAAATCTAAATTTAGAAAACTGGCAGGGTAACTCCAGGGAAGACGCAGTAGCAGAAACTATTTCCAGTTTTCTGAGGACAAGTTGGATGTAAAAGCAGTAGTACCCCAGATCAGAGGAAGAGAATGCTAATTAGCCATAAACAAAACCTATGCTGCCGTCCTCTCAGCAGTGCACGGCTGTTCCCCAAAGGACACACTCCAGTGTTTTGTTTCATCTCACTCTTAAGACTACTTAAAATGCCAGCCCATCAACCTTATATAATCTTATTTTCAGCATTTTTACCCCTCAGTTAACAATGTTCCTTCCAGTTTAAATGCATTTCAACCTTTTAAATACTTCTGTCCCTTCTTCAATTATCTCCAAATGTTTGAAGGATGAAAAATGCTCTCTCTCACTTCTGTTGCTTGTGGCATTTTGATAATACATATTTATTTTGAGCTTAATCAAACCTTGCAAGCCAAAATACCTGGTAACTTCATTACTTCCCTCTGACCTTCTTCAGATTTTCCAATAAGGGATTTCTGGTGCAGAATGAAATGTTTTTAATACCATTGTCACTCCCTCCCAATCACACCAACATGCAAAAATCGTACCTTTTATTACAAATGTAGCCTGAATTTAATGTCTCAGGTTATCTGCAGATCTATCACCATTATGCTTGCTCAGGTTTCATAGTCCCATAGAGTATCTCTATCTCGAATTTTTTTCTCTTGATATGACGATGTACACATTTCCCATCTGATTTTTTTTTTGTAATTTTAATTTCCTTTGATGCTTTACAATTACTTTTTTCTCCTGTTTCCACTAGTGTCTACAGAAAGGGGCTCCCGATGCGATCTCTGCAGGTTTCACGGCATACTGATATCCTCCAAACCCAATGGAGATTCTACCTCCTCCGTTATTCTACCAAACTTCAATATTTACACAACACTTCATATTTTCAAGAACTAACACAGAAAAGAAAAAAAAAGTCTCCATTTATCTTCAAATACAGAACCCGAACTCCTCTCCCTACTCCTAACCCACCAGGGAAAATCCTGCAGCCACGCATTGCTTTTCCCACCTCTCAGGAGGTACAAAGAACATGGAGAAACACCCAAACCTCCTGGTGGAGGTACATAGGTAGAAGGGGAGACCCACATGAAGGTATTTAGCCCATGCAATCTTCACAGCATACCCCACTGCACTGCCAGTCTTGTCTGTGTTAGCTCATCAAATTCTCTTCAGCATTTACTCAAATGCAACAACAGACCACGGATGGGTATGTCCAAGAGTAGTCACCATCCCCAAACACACACAAGTATGCCATCAGAGGACTAGGAAAGCCTGGCTGCAGCTCCCCCCAAGAACTATTAGCCATCTTCACCTAGTGTGATGGATTATCTTAACTACCCCTTAGGAGCAGCCAACCACAATGCGGGGTGGCTGCTGGAGTCTCCAGGAGGTGAGCCTTAGGGACATTTGGCTGCAGGAATAATTTCAGCAGATCCAGGTTAACCAATTCTCTCTGTGAGTTTATGCTGCCATGCACAGACCACGCTAGCTGCCATCCTGTGCTCACCAAGCTGGGAAAGGCTGTTCAGTACAACTGGAACTCAGTGTAATTAACACATACTCCTCTTCTTTGAAAAAAAGGAGAATACTTCAGTACAATATATGGTAATCTCTGGTTCAAAGAAAAACAGCCGTTCCTATGTTTTCTATTCATTCTGTTGCTCTGCTCCCAACAGAAATCACTCATCCACATCAGGCAGGAATTCAAAGCAGCTCCCCTCCTGCAAAATGTTGACATCTGATTCATCAGCACCCAAGCCCTCACGGCACAAAAAGGATACCCATCAGGGCTCCCCTTTCAGGTCCCTATTCTCAGCCCTACAAAAGTCCAGTCATGTCCTCACAGGTACCAATTTCCTTCCTTAAATCAGGGTTTTGCCTATACAGGTCAGTACAAACCCACCCCACGTTTTGTTTAAAAAGTCAAAATAGCTATACCAGTGAAGAATCCCTAATGAGGACACACTGCTAGGAGTTTACGCAGCTTTAACTTAATTAACAAGCTCTGTAGCTCCAAGCTAAGCAGAGGAGCAGTAAGTAACTGCATGTAGCAGTACCTTGCAGAAGGGTGGAAGCTGGGGACCACGTCTCAACAAGGAGCAACGTGGTTCATTCAGCAAACGCAACACAGGATGAATTCTTTCAGCAGACAGCAGGTGGTGATCCAAGATCACGGCACCGGGGCTCCAAGAGGGAACACCAGAAAGGCACACAAAGGCCTCCTACTTCCACAAAGCTGTCAAAGATCAGTCTATTCTGTGAAGGGCTGGTTTTGTTTTGCTCATTAGAGAAACAGGTGTAATTACAGGGATATGAAAGGAGCCTCATAGCAGTGCAGCTCCACATCCCTTCTGCATTGGTAGGCCACAATATGCAAAGATATTAAAGCATGACCAACCACAGAAATTACAATCCTTGTGAAGCTGAACTGGTACAATTTCTGTACAGACATTTCCATGCAAACTGCCACAAGGTCTGTGCTGTTCATAACCCTCTTGCAAGTCATAAGCATCACAGAAAGGTGAAGAGAAATGCTACAGCATGAAACATCAAATAATCTCTTAAATATGCCTTTCAACTCTGGTAATCCCCAAATCATTGGGATAGACGTGAATATATGCCTA